CCCCCCCCCCCCTTCCCAGAGTATGACAGTTCGTTTTTCTTTTTTGCCTCTTTCCTCTGCGTTTGTCTCCATGTACGTTGTTGCCTCTGTGAAGTTCTACATGTGGCAGTGGTGTCTTGTCGAAGGGTCTTGTCCGTTATGTTTTTAATGTCGTACACCGCGGCGAAAATTGTAACCACCAAAGCTGTTTTACCGACACCAAGTAAACCACGCCTTTCCAGTTCAGAAGTCTCATCGGCCGGTCCAACGCCCAACGCTGACATCCGCTTGCGCCGTGAGCACATCTCAGCTTGAGCACGGAAGAAGCTATCCAGGCAGACGGCAAATGACCCATCTGGTTTTGGCTAGCGCTCTAAAGACAACAACCTATTGCAATGTGGGCTATCCTTTCCCTCCCCTGTCCCGTCCTGCCATTGCATGACAATGCCACCGTTTTTTTTTGTGCGTGACCCTTACCCCTGGTGGCCAACACACACCACTTAAACGCTTTTGCCTCTTCGTACGGGACCGCTCGCTCGCTCGCCCGCTCGCTTTCCAGGATACACCTGGCCGTGAACCCTGGCCTGTATTCCTTAGAGGATCTCATGAGCGTCAAAAACGGCGAGCTCCTGCACTTCCTCGAAGAGGTGAGCTTGTACGAAGGGATGCTTCTGATAAGACATTTCTTTGTTTTTATCCACAGCGGCGGGGAACAACCACCAAATTTGGACATATACAGTTTGTGTGGGCGGAGGTTTACGGTTTCGTCCATTTCCTTAGCTGTCCGTCGCCTCAGTGCGTGTGTGCGGGAAAAAGAGCGCGAGCGGGATTCCGCGGTGGCATTTCGAGCGAACTGCTTGTCATCGTCGATATCGTTAGTCGTGTTTTTTTTTTGTAGTGGGAGAAAACCATCCATCGGGTACTTGGCCTGGCTTGTAGCAAGAGGAGTTGTGCTGCAACGTCTTCTTAAGGCAACGTGGTGATGATTCGCGATAATAGAGTCGGTTTCGACGGCGGGGATGACCAAGTACAAGTCAGTCCTATCCCCGGCTTTGCTCGGGACAAGGCTGTCTTTTGGCTCCGCTTGTGCAGCGCCTTGGGGGTGCTTCTGGTCTCGCGTAAGAAAGGACGGGGGCAAGAAGCAACGCCAGATATGGAAGTTTGTGGGTGGATGATCACAAGCAGTGCGGCGGCTGCCCCCGGGCTCGTATTTTTCAAGTGGGGATTGATGATCAGATGTTCGGTTCCGACGAGCAAAAGACAATCCCTTCCTTCCTCCACCGCCGCTGTTCGCCGCCACCGCCCGCCCCACCGCCCCTCTTCACCGCCCCCCGCTCTACTGGTACGCAAATTTGTCCCAGACCAATGAGGTCCTGGCCGCGCACGTCTTAGGCGAGTGCCACGTGTGCGAAGGCCGAGCAGCTCGTGTCTGCGAGGTCTGTTACATTGGCGAACCAATCTTCCCGTTCCAGGCAAGCCTTCCGCCACTTCTCGCTTGCTTGAGTCGGAGATGACGGGAGTTCGTTCCACTGCGAACCTGTGTAGCTCGTTTTTTCTATTCCTGCGTGTGTTGCACAGTTGAAGAACCCCATCATCCCTTGCTGCTGTTGCCGGGATGGCTGCACCAACACGGTCGATTTGTTTTTTTTCCAACCACATGTCGCGCAGTGAGCCGAAACAGAGTTGCCTACCCACCCACCACCCTCCCCGCTACCGCTGGTTGCACCGTTGGTCTGAACGAGTTTGCGTTGATCGGTTGTACCCACCACCTCCGTGATTCCATGGCCCCGTCGAGGTGTTGAACTTGTAAAAAAAAATGTTTGTTTTTGCTGCTCGTCTCGTTAGACGCCGTCTTGCTGCACCGCATCCCGCTTGCACCTTTGTGTCCCGATTAGATCTTCGTGTCCCGATTCCCTTTCAAGTCTGGCAGTTTCGGTTGGCTGCTCTCTGCAATTCGCCTCAATTTTTTGTTTTTCGACGAACCAGATCGGGACGGTGGCGCGCTGCCCCAGCTGCGAGACCCTGTTTCACGCCAGATGCGTCGCGGGGAACCCAGCGCAGCGGCAGACACAGCAGCAGCAGCAGCAGAGCAAGTCTCCATCAGCAGCAAGAGGAGCAAGCAGCTCGTCCAAGCGGTATAACACCGCGAAGCCCGGCGGCGGCAGTCGGAAGTGGAGGTGGCCGGACCACCAATCGCAGGCTGGCGGGAGCAACAAGAAGGAGCCCGTCGACCAGGACGCCGAGACCGACGACCACGAGTTCGTGTGTCCGAAGGTACGGTAATGCGTGTGTTGGGGTGTGTATCTGCCCTCTGTTCTCTTTGGAGCTGGTCGGGTCTTGCGCGTTGTTTTCTTTCCGTGCCAATGATGCGCTGTAGCATGTGCGCCCGGACTAAGGGTCTGCCACTTGCTCGACGTAGGAGGTGCTGGTCGTTTCAGCCCGAGCCCTACTCACGCAGCTTTTCTGCCAGAACGGGCAGATCCTGTGATTCTCTGGTTGCTGATTGGTCGTCGCTGCTCTTGACTTACTGTTAGCTGAGCCAGGACTAGCGTTGGCGCGCATCTCACGCCATTCATTGAGCTTTGCAGGAAAAGTTGACCACCTCTTTTGCAGTTGGCATCTTCCCTAACCACCACAAACCATCCGCCCGCACGCCCGCCCACCACCCTGCCTTTGACCCGTGCTTTTTCGCTTGCTGCACTTTGCGTTTCCCCGTGGCTCAGTGCAAATCGGTTGGTGTCTGGGAGGAGGTGATTGGACAATGATCGTGATTCGCTCGATCGAGTGGTCCTCCCAATCTGGTCTCCCAACTGCAGTTTGTGTGCTGTGATATGTTGGGCGGCCGCTCTGAAAAGGGATACATCTGCTGCAACAGAAGTGTGCAGAGGGGCTGCACAACTATTTAATCGGTGTAGGGACTACAAAAGCGTTCTGAAAGCACTACATGGGGCTGTTCGTCAATTGTTGACGGTGCACGTGGACGAGTCCCGCGGACCTCAACAACTCCCCACCCCCCGGAAGTCAGCCATACAAAAGCCGAGTGCGCTGGGTCTACGAGGTGGCTCGTGGCTCCCTCGGCAAGCTAGATACCGTGGGCTTGTTGGCGCGTTGAGCATGCTCATCTCGGATCGCGCAACCTGATTGTTTATGTGTACAAAATTTACAGCATCAGCGTGTCCGTAGCCTGCCTGGAGTCGGGAGCTCAGCACTCCCCGAGCACCACAAGCCGAAACCAAACGTTGGGAGGGCGGTCATGACCGACGATCAAACAGGGTCTCGCCCACGCACGTTCCTAGAGCCTGCCTAAACGTGGTCAGCCCGAGACCACTGCTGTCCGTGCACGTATACAGGCAGGGGCGAAAAAGGCTCCCCGCAGCTTTTGCGAGGTGGGCAAATTCGAGGGGGGCCAACCCCTACCCGTACATGACGTCTGTTCGAAGGAGGTACTTCACTCCGGAGGTCACCGCGGCGCCTTCGTGCAGGAGGCATTGCTGCCCGTGGCCGTGAACGAGGCATGCCCCCTGTCTCGGCGAGAAACTCGCCGCAACCTTATCTCCGTAGTTACCCTTGAAGGGCAACGAACAGGACAAGAGCGAACCGAAAGTTAACGCGCGGAGGACGGCGGAGAGAGAGAGGGGAAGGGTCGAGCGGCAGCAACACACGCATTGGAACAAAGGACCAGGGCATTGTAGTAAGCGTGAGATTAGGGTTGTGTACTATGATACGGTCTTTGGCAAGATATGTTTGAAGCCTCTTGTTCCAATAGGGAATACTGGTACGCAGCAAAGAGCATCAACTGCGGCCTCGAGTGTACGTGTGATGCTATGTAGTGAGAGCAGGGATAGGACTCTTTCCCCCAAGCTGTATGGCTTCGGGGGACCTCACGTCTCAGGTGTGGCGTTCATTCGCAAAGCAACCCCCCGACGAGGCAAGTAGACGTCTCAGAGGCAAGTAGATGTCGATATATTGGTAATAAAAAACAAAGCAAACAATGCCAACACGAAAAAGCATCCCACGCCCAGCACGGAGGGCGGAGAGCCAAGCCGGGTGAAAGATCCATGCTTCGCTCAATTCCAGAGGAGACCCAAAACCCACAACGTGTCCGCACCCCACACGGCGGAAAAACGCCGTCAGCCGTCGTCCAGAAACACAAATCCAATGGACAACCTCAACTCCACAACGAGGGAGGTTTTGGGGGGCCTAACACCTCCTCCTCCTCACCTTGTAAAACACAGTCTCGCCCCCACGAAGCGGCGCCCCTTCCTCCCCCGCGCCGGCAAAGGCCCCACCTCCGTCACTCCTACCCTTCTTCTTCGATCCTGATGCACCACCAGCAGCAGCGCCGCCGCCGCCTTCTCCTCCTCCATTCAAGTAGATGAGGACCGTCCACTGGCTGGTCAGCCCATTCTCGTCGTCGACGCTTTCGTCGATGTGCTTGCCGAACCGTTGCCCGACGGCGTACCGGTAGATGCGGATGTTGGAGTTGCACGCTAACGGTCGCCTGTACTCGGGGGGGAATGTAGCGCGTGGGCAGCAAGATGGTACGGAGACCGAACCGATAGAGCTCAAAACACTTGGACAAAGAAAACAGAGGAGAAAAAACACTGCCAACGATACCACGATTCGTTCGCAGGCCAACGAAGCGATGTTGTACATACGCCGAAAGCTTTTCGCATCCTTTCCATGGATGGCGGTACTTTCTTCGTAAGGGGGTGATTCAAGCGACGGGAGAAACTACGACCACGACCGAAAGTATACATGGTCGGACGCGAACAACCCACAGCACTGCGTTTGCTGAGTGCCTTCCCGAACGGCGACTCATTCGCAGCAAGGCGGGACTTAAAAACAGAGGAAGGACAACAAGACGCACCTTCCGCCCATGTTGGCCGGCACGAACTTCCCCACCCTTGCGAATACGGCGGCCGCGACGTCGGCGCTGTGCAGGGTTATCCTCCCGTTGTCGCGGTGAGCCATCTCGGACGTCTGTCTATGGAAGCTCCGCTCGAACCCCTGGCCTTCGCCGTACCTTATCCAGGCGGCGCACTCGCGGGGGCTCAGCAGGCCGTCGATGCTGGTTGCAAGACGTTTGTTGTGGTTGTTGTGTATGACGTCAACACGAATGGCGGAAGAGCACATCAAGCACTTTACCAGATAGTACACATTCTTTGCAGATCGTGTGAAAGGTCCCTGTTCAAGTGATGTGACAGGTGCTGCAGTGGGGATAATGTTGACGGTTCCGCTTGAGTGTTGGGCCGAGGGGTATGGGGGGACCGGGGCTATTGTAAGCCTGTTCGTTGCAAAATGGGGTGGTTGTGTAGTCTCACATTGAACATGTTTGTGGGTTGAATAGATAGATTCAATTGGAACTTCAACCCAGGCAGTTCGCGAAGCAGGAGAAATACTGCTGCATGTGTGTCAAACGAACCTCATGTTGGTAAGCCAGTTGTAGTTTCAGATGAGTTGTGTGTGCCACGATGATGTTCACAAGAACCCTCATTCTCCCTGGCGGCTTGGCGTACTTTTAGTATCCATATGGATAAGTATATAATTTACATGCACACCGCAAAGTCCCATTGAAGGTTCAAGGCAGCATATGGTCAGTCCAGGACAATTTGTCCATTTTGTTTTTTAGCGATAACTTTCGA